ATGCACAATGCCTCAGATTTGATCCCTAGCACCACAGAAAATGGGGGAAGGATGAAGGAAGGGAGAGAAGGAAAACAACCAGCATGCCATGGAGTATATACAGCAAAATCCTGCACAGGAAACACAAGGGTGAACTATTTAATGGTTGCGTGTTAGCTATCTGCCTAGAAATAGTGTAGGTGGAAGTCCATGGGCAACACTCAGGATGAAAGTGTGAAGGTAATATTGTTTTCTTCTTTGGCACATTCTGTCCTTCCACGCTTTCCTCCAGTTAACACATCTTATTTTGATTTGTGGAAATTTGTTGTTTTTAGTACTGGAAATTGAACCCAGAGCCTTGCATAGCCTAAGCAATCTCTACCCCCTAAACCATAACATCAGCCCTCTTTCCTTTCAAGACAAGATGCTCAGGTTGGCCTTGAATTTGCCATCCCCTGTCTCAGCCTCCTGGAGTAGTTGGGATTGCAGGCCTTCACCACTAGGCCTGGCTCAAACATGTTTTTAATAACAAAACTAAAGGTGTGTGTGTGTGTGAGAGAGAGAGAGACAGAGAGAGAGAGAGAGAGAGAGAGAGAGAGAGAGAGAGAGAGAGAGAGCGAGCTTTGTATGGGCTCCATCACCTATAAGAAGCACAGTTCCTGGAGGTGCTCTGGGTGCCCCAGTCCCTTCTGGCCTGCACTCAGCTGTCACTCCCAGGATCTGTGCAAAACCGTTTGTATCTCTTGTCTCACCTCACCTTTTCTGGTCCTAGCATCTTTACACAATCAGTTTCTTCCACCTGGAATGTTCCCTGTGGTCAGAATCCTTTCCACTCTTCAGAGTCCTCAGTGAACACCCTCTGCTCCAGCTTGCTTTTCCCTTGCTGCATTCTTGGTCTCAATACCCTTGGGGCCTCCTGGAGACCAATATCTATCTGGTCAGACCAGTAACTTCCTCTGCAGTGAATATCAAGTGCTATCACCAAGGTTGCAGGTTGAGTTGAACTTAGCAGAGGAGCCCTGCAGAGAGCTGGTAAGAGAACCCCAGTGAGACTCTGACTGGCTCTTCTTGCAGCTAGAGGTTTGGTGTCCTTCCTCCAAGAAGGTAGGAAATATTGCCAGCCTGAGCCAAAGGAAGTGATGCTTCTGGGCCAAAGCATTGTTGCTGGCAGGTTTGGATTCCATAGAGCTGTCTGGTAACATCAAGAGGATGGATGGTGGAGGCTTCTATCTCAGGCAGTGGGTCACTGACCAACTGTCCCACTTTGTCCAGGATTGAAGAATATCTCAGAATGTGGACTGGTCAGAGCAAACTGTGGAGAAACCAGGAATGTTATGCATATGGTTTTGAAGCCCCAGGCTGATGCCACACAGGAGACATAGCTGCTGAATCTTGGACTTTGTGGGCTGGAGTAAACCCGAGTTTAGGTCCTGAGACCAACATCTTAGACCAGCATAGGAACAACATTAGGAGCTGGGAGTCTCCTTAGATCCCCCAAAGCTCTTGCTGTCTCTTCCTATCCTAAGGCCCCTCCATTCTTTAGACTGCTCCTGCCCTGGCCTTGCACCTATGGACAGCCCAGCTGGGTCTTTTCCTACTGCTAGGCCCCATCATTGATGTTTTGTTGTTTTGTTTTGTTTTAGAGAAGAGTAGGAGCTTGAGACAGGGCCTCTGTGAGGCCCAATCTGGCCTCAAATCTGACCTTCATGCCTTAGCTTCCCATGTACTAGAACTAGGGGCACTACTTCCCCCCGTTTGGTCCTACCCTTGTTTCACAGCCTGGCTCCAGTCACCAGAATACCCCCACCTCCGCACCAGCTCACAGACAGTTCTCTGCCCTTTGAAGATCCCTGCTCCTCAGAGCTTAACACAGGAGAGTCCCTTCACCTCTGAGTTCCCTGTTCCCAGCAAAAACTGTGGCTTAAATCATTCATGTGTGGTGGCTTACATCAGTTCATGTATGCATTCACTCACTTGGTAAGAATTAACCTATCCGGCATTGGCTAACAGCGCCTGCTTTGATTCCCACCATGACTAAGTTGACTCCACCACTTAATTAACTGCAGTGTGACTCTGGGTAGTCACGTTGCTTCTCTGGGTATCGGTTTCTTAATGTAAGACGAGTGCATCTCTCACCGAGTGCTGCAATGTTAGAAGAGTTAGCAGTAAAAACAGCTGCAGCTCTGGGACCAATACAGAGTAAACATATGCACAGCTTGCCATCATTATTATCGAGTCTACCTGGAGCCAGGTAATCTTGGGACACCAGGAATACACAAACGACACATCCAAGAACTAACCAGTCGAGTGGCACAGGCAGACACACAAACCAGCAATTGCATGCGGCGTGACTAATGGAGAAGGTATGTCCACACAGCAGGGAGAGTGGTTACTCAGGCTAGCCTGTAGGCAGGGCAGTCGTGGGGAGACATCTCAGAGCATGAAAGCTCAGAGCCATGATACCAAAATGTGTGGGAGGAGCTGGAGGAAATGGCTTATAGGTGAGGTGACCTCCACTGGTACTGGAATGGGGACAGTTACCTGTAGGAACCTGGGTGTGCAAACTAAAGAGTAGAAAGAGAGGGCGCTATCGGCAAGGGGTCCTCTCCCATTGCAGGGGACAAGCAGCTGGTAGTACTGGTGGAAGAAATCCACTGCATTTCCTATAGATCACTCTGATGGACTTCGGTGGGCAAATGAGAACAGAAGACTGAAGGAGAACACGCCAGGACTTTCTTACAGCCTCGGGGCAGCCTGGCATCCAGCCTGGCATTCTTGCTAGGGTCCCTGGATCCTGGCCCTGATGCCTTATCCTTGGCTCCAGATTTTCAGCGGACAGCCTCTCATGGCCTGCAGACCCACTCTCTCTCCTTTCTTTTCCAGTTTGGGCTCTGGTCTCTCTCTGGCTCTTCCCAGCTTCTCCATTCTTCTCCTGGAACAGGCTAGCTCTTGCCAAAGCCTCAACTCCCAACCCAGCTCTCCCGGACCAGAACAAGCCCATCCCTTCTCCCCTCTGCCTCCCCACCCCACCTCATCGGACTCCAGTTGTTCAGCTGAGACTTGCCCTGTCTCATTTTCCCATTGATGACTCATGGATCAGGCGGGGTGAGGCCCCAGCTGCCAGAGCAGGGGGAGAGTTAGTGGCAACAGCCCCTTCCTGGCCTCACAGTGTCCTCAGGTCCAGCTGAGCAGTTTTCTCTCTCCTGAGAGTCTGCTGGCACTGTGAAGGCCTGCCTCTGTCACCAAAGGGGCTTTTCCCCCACTCAGCAGTCCAGCAGGCATTCCAAGGGTGAAGGCCTTTGCTCCTTCCTGGAAATTCAGAGCAGAAAGGGCACCCTTGAACTCAGAAAGCAGAGCAAAGAGACCAAAGTTTTGCCAGAGACAAAACTCCCCTAAAAGGTCACTTTCTTCTGAAAGAGCCAATAGCTCTTTGAATAGCACCTGTTCTAAGAGGGCCAGAACTCTCTGAGTTCTTGAGAACTCAGGGCTCCCAGAATATTGGTAAATATCTATTCTGTTGTAACAGTCTCCACCTACGCACATGTGCCAGGAGCCTGCTGAGAGCCAGGTCCACAAGAGGGTCTCCAATGATCCACCTTTCAGGGGTTGAGACTTGCCTAGCAAAAAGGCACACTGAAGCTGACTTTGGGCAAGAACCAAAGCACACTTGGAACCAAAGCTGAGTGTCTAACCAGCTTTGAGAGCCTGCCTTCATCCCAAGCACCTGCCCTCTACTCTTGTCTCTCAGCACTGCCCATGCCCCCTGCTGCAGACCAATGATCCCTCTCAGCTCTGCTGAGGTCCACAATGAGCAGCAAGAAAATAAGTGCCTGGTGCTTCAAGGTGGCCTGTGGTCTGCTCTTCTGGCACTGGCTGCTATTGGTTTGTCTCCCACTAAACTCTGACCTCCTAGGGCAGAGATTGTATCTTTTTTTTGTCCCTCCATGTCCACTGGAGAGCAGAGTACCTGGCCCAGCAGGCATTATTTGGTGAATGATCACACCTTGATCCCAAACCCATCCACCCACAAACCTTTCTTTCTTATTTCTGAGTGCCTGATGCCCAAATCTTCAAACCCAAATCTCCACCCCCCGAAATTCCTGGGCTTGATTGGAATAGTCTGAAAACATGCTGTTTCATAAGCATGAGGAAGCTAACCCTTTGCCATTAAAGCTACATCAAGGCAGGAGTGGCAGCTTTCTCTCCTTTCCCGACGCATGAAAGTGCTGACTCCTCACCCACGGAAGACATCATCAATTGATCACAGCACCCTGGATTAGACCTAGCCTTTACAACACTGATCTAGGTTGGCATGGAAGATGATGTTTTTTGACCTGATGGGATTAAGCTATCTATAGAGTGTTTAGACTAAGAGATAATGATTGGGATATTTGTTAAATTTCCTTTGTAAACCATATACTCATATTCAACCGTACAATGTAGTTCTCATCCTACATAGGAAGTACTTCTGAGGACTGAGAGACATACATGGACAGGAGAAAGGAAAATTTTGATTAGAAAACAAGAGAAGTTCCAGGACAGATAGGGCTACACTGAGGAACCCTTTCTCGAAAAACCAAAACAAAAACAAAAACAAAAAACTAGATAAATATGAAGGAGTGAAACATGAGAAAAACGAAGAGGTTATTAAAGAGATTTCAAATTATTGAGGAGTTCCCTTGGCCCCATTGTTCCTTTCAGAGGCTCTGAAGCAAGCCATTGCTCTGCATTCAGGGAGGGTAAAACTTGCTGGTTATACTGGGAGAGGTCAGCGGGGTGAGCAGCAGGTTCTGTCTAACTCAAGGCCATAATTCCTCTGTATCTCCCATGTAGGAACGATTCCCTAATGCTAGCCACTAAGGTAGACTTCCCCTATGAATGTGTCCATCTGCATGTGTAAATAACAGGGAGAAGCCAGCCCAGCAATCAGAGCCACTTCCTAGGTTAGCAGGGGCAAAGAAGTAAAGAGATGCTCCAAGCTCTAGGTGTCTGTAGTTAAAAGAATTTCACTCAACAGACAATGTAGTTACTACCCACGTACTGGGCATCTTCATTCTGGAATAGGCATGAAATGGTAATGGCCAAACCCTTACCCCATCCCCACCACCTCCAGGCCCAGCACCAAAGTGAGGAGAGGGCAATAGAGGTAAAGGAAGAAGTGTGCAAAGAGAGGGTATGGATGGGTGGGGGGAGGTCCCAAAAGGACCTAAGCAGCAAGAGACCCCCAGGCACAGGCCTCATGCCCAGCAGATCCCATCTGCAAGCTAAGTCCAGCAGCTGTCCTAAGGCAGGGTGGCCATCTTCTGGATCTCAGGCTGTCCTCCTGAGTTCTGAGACCTTGGCTTAGCACACCATGAGGAACTGCTCTCCTTTGGGCAAGTCTCAAGGCCAGGGGCCAAACAGTAGTCTGCAGAACCCAGAACCAAGGGCAGGAGCAGTGAGAGGGGCCTTGATGCCAGGTAAGCCCGGGTGCTCCATCATGGTACATGAGGCCAGGCCTGTGGCTCGGAGGTTTAACAGTCTCAGCATCCAGGAGCTGAATCTTCATCCTCAGCCCCTCATGTGGCTTCTGCTCTCCGCCCTGGGACGCTAGGCTCCTTCCATGATATGCTTCTTCCGAATGCTGATAGTTTCTGCTGCATCATGTGTAGTCAGGCCCCAACCAACCAGGGTGGACAGAGAGGCTGGAGAGAAAGAGCAGTGGTTAGGGCAGGGGCAACAGTTGATTTACTGGGAACTGGGTGCCTCACGCCAGGCCTTGCCTGCTCTTCCTACACCAGAACAAACGAAAATAATGTGGCCACTCCTGTTACCCACAGGAAATAGGTTTCGGGACATGCCACACAGACGCTAACTAAAATCTGGGAGCTTCTTTCTATGACAGGGTGTAGTTTTTGCCCATAACCTACGCACACCTCCCATATGCTCGAAGTCATCTCTGTGTTACTTTTAATACCTAACACAATGTAATGCTATATAAATAGCTGTTACACTCTATTGTTTGGGAGACATTAACAAAAATCAAAAGGTCTGAATGTTCGGATGACATTTTTTTTACAACTATTTTTGACCGAGGATTTACTGAATCCACAGATGAGGGCTGATCCCACACTATGGCCGGCGGAAACTGCTTCCTCTAGCCCTACTCTGAGTCCTAGGGGATCAAGGTGGACCCATTCATAGTCCACTGGGTTTACTTCTTATCGAGCTTCTCTACAATTGTGGGGTGGGAGGAGCAGTCAACAGGAGTGCCAAAGGGGCTGCAGCATTACACAGACCCCCAGCCTCACCTGAACTCTGATGGCTGGAAGGAGGAAGAAGTAAGGGGAAGTGAATGAGGTACTGTGCGAGGTGTAGTTGGTTCCAGAGGGACAAAAGCTTCCACTGGAGAAGTTAAGGCCAGAGTTATATAAAGCCCTCCTTGACCCAGCTCAGGTTCCCATGGGGAGGGAGTGGTATCTGGGGAAGAGGGCAAGAAGGCTAAATGCCATGGCTTCTAGGTTCTATTCCTGGTCCTTCCCTTGAGCCATTCTGCCCACAAACCAACCCTTCAACCTTCTGTCTTCTCCTCAAGGAGGATTAAAACATCACAAATAATCCATGGCCTCACTCTTCTAACGTTGCCTCCTCTGGCCCAGCGAGCCTTGGCCGGCACTCGTGGATAGGCAGGTAGACAGGCCCATCATCCCTGGAATTAATGGCCTGGCCACAGCCCACCTCACACATCTCTTGCTCCCTTGCCCTCCCAATAGCTCAGCCCTAGCCCGCCACTGAGGTCCCACGTGGGGAGCTGGGGCGCCATAGTTTTGTGCCCAAGCCCTTATAACTCCTTCGATAACTACAAGATGGTGAGTTTTCACCTCAGTTCAACGATTAAATTCCCTGACACGCATTCATTCTGGAAGAGATAATGCAGGAGCCCTATGTTGGGTGGCCCACTGGCTCACCACATGAGTCAGTGTTCAACCAGTCTCTGAAAAGAACCATCCCACCTGAGCTCTTCCTCCCAGGACTCCTGTCTTCCTCTCAGACACTTGGGTCGCAATAAGGAGCCTCCTGCCAGACACCCTAGGGAAAAGGCCCGCTCTGCTCCCTTGGCCAGAGGCCCAGGCTTCCCAAACACAGTCTCTCAGGATCCTACCCTGTCGGGCCCCAGCAATTTTCCCTAGGGCTCTGGGGTGGAAAACAAAACTCCTGATTTTCTATAGAGGACAGAGGAGGAAAGACAAGATAGAGGGTTCAGCGCTCTGGGGCTTACCTGACGTGTCCTCTGGGCACGGAGGTGGTAGCGGTGGGGGCATGTCGATAAAATGGTATGCCTCGTGGTTTAGGACACGAGGGTCCCAGTCCCAAGGCTCTGTCGGGCCCGCACAGTCTGGATGGCCTGTTGATTCTTGAACTTGACCAGGCCCAGGGTGATCTGAGCGTTCCAGCCGGGGTCTTCGAGGGGGCAGCGGAAGTCGATCTCACCCCCGCCCTCGGTCACTAGCGTGAAGTAGATGTGGCGCCCGGTGCTCTCCACGCACTCCACGGCTTTGATGCGGGCGAAGCTGAGCTCCTTGGGCCGGCCGCCAGT